CAGTGCTCAAGCTGCTTAGAAACTTGTGCGAACCAGCTACAGTCTATTTACCTCACCGTTGCGAACCAGGCACTGCTGCGTACTGCTGCGCAGTGGGTGTGTAGAGGAGCGGCGGATGAGCTTCTTGGTTCTTGAGCCGTGGAAAGCATGTCATGCAAACAGGTCACCCATGCCCATGCAGCTCCTGCTTCCCTCATCCAACGCACCGGCATAGCATGACCAAAGCGACAGCTTCTTTTCCACTCCACTGCAGGGGAAAATCCTTGCCACAGCATCCCACCCAGTGGCTGCTCAATCTCAAGGTAAAGAGTCCTCCGGAAGACCTCGCATCTTGATGATCTTGGATCTGGTCGCTCCACTTCNNCTGCTGCAGAAGGGCTCCCGGAGTGGATGCGATAGTCCGCATCCAGCGACTCTAACTCTAGCAACTTGACGCAGGTAACGACTTAGCTGTCGCCTGCGTCTCGACTGCCCGAACTCTTGTGCGAGGCCAGCTGGACAGGGCTGGAAAGACCCCGCTCCACAAGGCCTTCCACTAAAAAAGGCTGCAAACAGAACCGCGGGACACGGACAACTCCCCAGCAAGTTTCCGGCGCCTGGCCTGCCTGTGCTTAGCGAGCAGGCACAGGACCGTAGACCCTGATTGGGGCCAGGTTGCACGGCGCCGACTGCGGAATCAAGTGCCTTCACCACACACTATCTCATGCAGTGTGAATGATAGTGCAGACGTCAAGCCGGCGTCGAACAACCGTCTCCGGGTTGCCTGGTTCATATCTAAACCAAGTCCCTGGGACTGAGGCAAGGAACTTGCGCCTAGGTATTTCTAGGGTGAAGCACCACCTTCAAACGGGATGACTTGGGGCTGACTGGCTGGCTGCACCGGCATGCCAACCAACCTCGATGCGAGCTTTGCCACTATCTGTGGAACGTGAGAACACCCACTGCCCGTGTGCAACTGCGCAGCTAGCCGAAAGCAGGAGCCATTTGCAGGTGACGGTATCGATCACTCTGCAAGCTGATGGGAACGATTGAAGCATGTCGAGCCGCTGAAAAAGGATGTCAGCTGGACAAGCAAGTAGGAGCTGTCAACGCTGGTAAAGCGGTATAGTCTCGCTCCAGCGGACTTGTCAGGAAGGTGCCTGGAAAGTGTGCAATGGCTGCATGGGAGCCATTCCGATCTCTCGCGACTATGCAAGCCTCTGTCTCAGCTCACCGACCTTCTCCTTGCACGCGTCAAGGAAGCTGGCGCTGAGGTTCATGCGAGAGGTGAGGCTGGCAATGCTGAAGAAGGTCATCCGGGAAAGAGCTCTTTCGAGGTTCATGACTTTGGTCTTGGCCACCTTGCTGGAAGTTGCCCTCATCTGGGCGATCTGCACCTGGAACAGCTGCAACACGTCTTCCGCGTCAAGCTCAAATTGTCCCTCTGCAGCCTTCGACTGCAGGCATCGCAACACCATGGACAGGAACTCGTGTTGGCTCATCTCCTTGATGAGCTGTCGCTGGCTCTTGTCCAATGTCGCAGAGCGATTGCTGTGAGACAAGTGGCAGAAGTTGCAGTCAGCCTCGTTGCTGCACTTGCCCAGTGCGAAGTAAATGCAAGGGCGGCGGCACAGCTCGGGGTGTCCCGCACTTCCAGGATTGCACTTCGGTTTGCCCTCCTTCGGCGACTCATCCCCCTCAGAAGGTATCTCCTCTGAAGGCGCGTTCGCCGTTGCGATCTCTTCGGTGGATGCAGTGGACTGGAGCTCCACCTCGCAAGCGAAGACGGGCGCCAACTTCTTCTGGAGAGACTGCACATACAGCCCGTCCTCCACCTGAGGCCAAGACACAGCACTGCACCGAGAAAAGCTGCCAAGGAGGACACTGCGCCGGCCTCCTGCTCCTGGGCTGGGCACACGGGCTCAGGCCCAGCACGCCCAAGCCTGAAAGCACGGTCCACATCGACAGGAAGGCACAAGGCACACTCATCTGCGTGGCAGCCAGCACTTCCCGCCTTGGAGGGACGCTGGAGGCTCGGCGTTTCAGCTGCACCATGGGCTCCTCCTGCAAAACATCCGGACAGGCTGGAGCAGATGGGCACTGAAAGCTGCAGACACCCTGAACCTGAACTCTTGATGTGTCATGCTGTCAACCTCAGCACTATGCGGCACTCTGTCGAGTCACTCGGCCTGGACCGAGATAAACGTGTTGCGGTACTCCAGCTCGAGAGACATTCCTCTAATGAAATCCGGAGCCGACCTTAGTCGAGTCTCAGGGCCAGAGTCCAGAATCTTACGATGTGGTAACAGCGGAAGGTTTCCAGATCTCAGCGATTTCAAGCTTTAACTCTCTTTTCAAAGTTCCATGGCACAGCAGATTTTAAGCTCTGCTTTTTCACGCGCAGCACATGCTAGCTCAAGGCCTGAAAGCGGAAGGCTGCATGTTTGCTTGCACACTCAAGACTCCAGCGGCACCTTCGGAAATTCCTACTTATGGCAATTAGGATTCACAGCCCCCGAGATAGAGATTAGCTTCCGAGGTGTTCGCTGGGAAGTTCGACTTCTTCCTCTATACACCTTGACGTCCGGCTTCGAGCACATCGTTCTCATCTTCTATCAGCAACTTCGAAGTTTTTAGCAAACTCATGGGAGGCTCTGCATGACATCCACGTAGTTTGGTCAAAGCATCGGAGGGGTTCTTGTTGTGAGGAACCCACCTCGGACGAGCCAGGGTTGCCCACATGTTTTCTCTAATGACTGCAACTTCTAAGTTGCTGCGTTCGCAGTCTCCCGGCTGGCCGCTCACAAGGTTGTCATAGAGCGCCTTGGTTATGACGCTGTTCGGGTCCATGAAGAGGGCGACTCACTGGAGATGACGGTCGCCTTGCCCTGCAGCTCCAAGTTGAGGTCCTCGGGCCTCTGTTGTTCCCTCGGGGAAAAGTTTGAGAACCTCAGGGAGTCCCACAAGGCCACTTGCTTCTCCAAGGATGCGGTGGCTGCTGACATGATAGCGCCTCGCACAGCATGGAACTTGATGCCTTCCGCCGTAGGCGCTTGGATCGCCACTGGTTCAGGGTGATCGGTGCCAGCCGACCTGCGTTGAGGCTTGGGTCGGTGTAGCCCTGCAGCCACCCGTGCTGGGACTTTGCCTGCCCACTCGTGTCGAAGGCGGCGTCTGCGATGAGTACGTGTCTCACATCCTTTTCGGGGATCGAGTGGACAGTGAGCCGTATTGGCACCTGTTTCAAGTGTCTCACCATCACGTTGGTGTCAAAGATATCTGCCACGGAGGCTTCTGGAAAGGTCGAGGCCAACACGCTTGCTGCAGCTGCAGCATCCGGACGAGCCTCCCTCGCCACCCAGGCCAGACTTTGGATCACTCCCCTTAGCTGAGTTTTCTCGCCTTGGAGCCAGGGAGTGTTCGCTGCGTCTTTGTGGAAGACCTTTCGTTTCAGCTGGACGGGGGCCAATCGAGCGTAGATGTACTCCTCCATGTGTATGTGGAACGAGTGATCTCGTTGGCAGATCTTCCGGCCTGTGTCGGTGCTGGCTGCTTCGTAGAGGTCCTCCACCTTGCCGAACTTGATGTGCTGAGCCATCTCCTCCATCTTGGTCCGTGTTCCCGGCCTCGATGATGTCGTCGACCTCCACGATGAGGAAGCCAAGGGAAGGAGGCCGTACTCCTTCTGCGGTCGTCGCGGGCTGCTCCAGGTTCGGAAGGACCAGCACGCAGGAGTCATACGGGTTGATTCGGTACTTGAGCTTGGTCACGGCCAGGTCCAGAAAGGTACGTCTCCACCAAGCGGGTCCTGACACAAGTCCGTACACCTCCGTCAGCAACAACAGCAGCTGCTCGGGGTGCAAACCTGGAAGCCTTTCATCGTCAGGTTGTCGATAGGCGAAAGGTCGCTTGCGGTCACTAGGTTTTGACTGCAAGAAGGCCGTCTTCACATCCTTGATGTAGGTGCGCCATTTTCGGCTCGCCGCCAATTGAAGTGCCGTGTTAATCGAGCTGGTCAGGGGCGTCGGGCTTGACTTTTCTATCTGGTGGACCATTGGATCGGTCCAGCCCACGACACACCATCTGCTCTTGGTCTTGGTTTTTGTCAAGTCCTTCTTCAGCTCGAGAGGGCTGAGGCTTGCGGAGTTGATGGCCGCCTTCTTCGCGGAACTTGCGGGACTCCTTGACGGACAGCACCTTCACCGCATTGAAACTCCTTGGCGCGGCTGTCGCAGAACAGGTCCCTCTCCTTGCCGCGAAGCTGCCTGTACTCCACCTGCCCAAAAGTCGGCTTGGCGTTTGCCAGGTCAGGTACATGCAGCTGCAGCGGTCTGTCTCACACCACGAGGCTTGAGCGTCCTCGTTCTGAGTCCACCGTGGCCTGGTCTTCACGAGGTAGTTGTGGGAGGCGTTGGCAACGTCGTTGTCGAAGTCCATCACCTCCAGGTAGGTTGTGGTGGAGGCTTCGTGCTGGTAGTACGGTTGGCTCCCGCGGTTGCTGTGGCTTCATTATTCCGGTCGAGCTGGTCCAAACGTCACCCACCAGCTGGTTCTCCTAGAGCCATAGCCACGAGAGATGGCTGTCTGGTCAGAGCTCTTCAGCCACTCCTTCCGTGCCAGTTCCCGGAGCTCCCAAGTCTGCTTCATGGTGTTCCCAGCGGCTTCTTGGACGGTCTCCGCATCTAGCTTGTCTTCGCTAAGAAGAGAGGCTGGAGCGTCCGAAAACACGTTGGTTCGGGCGAAAACCTGCCTTGTCGTGCAGCTGGTTGTGCGCCGAGACCACCTGGGCAATAGCGAGGTCGAGTTCATCTCGGCTGACCGCTCCGTCATAGATCAGGGCTGTTCGCAGCTTTGCCTTGAAGGTCTGGCCCGATCTCTCCACCCTGCCGTTTTGCCAAGCCAGAGGCATCAAGAAAAATGAATCACGGATCCTCCTTGGGCAAGGGCTTCTTGGGACGGTTCTCCGAAGACTCGGGTCATAGGACCATCAATGGATGGCCGTAGTGCTTGATCCACTGGTCCCATAAGACAGCGCGAACGGTGTGGCTCTGGGCATTGTGGCACCTTGCCACCATGATGAAACCCGTGCCGTGGTCAATGATGTTGATCAGAACCTCCTCGCTGCCGAACAGCTTCATGTACACCAGGTCTACTGCGATCACAGCGTTGAACTCCAGCGCTCTCATCAGGTGAGCTGATCTGGCTGGCGACGGTCGAGGATGTGTAATCTTTCGTCCACGCCACGATGTCTGGTCTCACGCCTGCGTTTCGAAGTGCTCGGACGAAGGTTTCCTTGGCTGGGTGGTTGAGGTTCCTGTGTGTCCTGAACACCTCACGCCGAAATTCGGGTTCCAGCGAAGAGGGACCCGAGTCCTCATGTTTTCGGAAATCATCAATCTCCGAAGCGACCTGGGATGTTGCGCTGTCACGCGCCGCAACTGCCTTCTCAGCTCTTCCTGGGCCTCGTCTTCATCCACGAGTGACTCCAGCTCTGGGTTCTCGTTGTCGATGTTGCTATGGCTAACGTCTTGTCGTTTGTCGCGGCACACACGGTGTTGTTGTGCGGCTGGTGTGGGCCAATGTGCAAGTAGAAGTGGCTCGGAAGCAGGGTGTTGGCCGGCAGTTGGTCGTGGCCGGCACACAACAACAGGAAGATCCTGCCGTCGAATTGCCGTTGGACACATTGTGTCAGCCATCTGCGAGCTGGGCCCATCCACCAAAATGGTTGGCCTTTGTGACTCCACCGCTTGCTGAAGGTGCTCTCCATGTTTCCACGTAGAATCTGGCGCCCTTATGAGGTTCACCACCGTGAATGCCGTCTTCGAGCTCCTTCCACTCATTGTTGTTGTCAACGTGGACGGTGGATCGCCACATAAAGCAAAAATCTGCTGCGTGATGAATTCAAAAGAAGTGCGCGGCAGGCTGCATATGCGCCCACCATGGTCACTGGTACCCAAGTCGTGGTACCCTTTGTGCACATAGTACAAGGAAAACTGCTCACCCGTCGACGGCATGGTCGCCTCCAGCAGGCTCCATGGTAACTTCTGTTCCGAGGTTACAGCCACCAACGGTGAGCACATCGAAGAAATGAGGATGGCCAAAGAAGCTATAGAAACATGCCCGTGTGAATGGATCACCTTCTTCACCTCCTCCGTCACGCCGCTCGGCATCACGACCCTTGCGTAGGGTCTGGTCTGGGCTTGAGGTCTCCGGATTGCTCGCCATGGCACGGCACGGCTGTCGGGTGATTTGTGCTCTTCCTCCCCGTCGCTGTTGATCGCAAAGGTCTCCGGGGGTCCATTGACAGCGTTGCTTGGCGAGGCCTGGACTGAGAACGAACTGGATTCACTCCCGCAGGCAATTCTCGAGTCCTGCGTCCCTCCAGCGTGGCCTTGTTGGTGGTCGCTGGTCCGGGTAGTACGGGTAGTAGTCGGCGAACTCCATTGGTCCCGACGTTCTCCACACTCTCGCATCCACAGGTTCCCACCGTGCCCTTGTGCGGATTCGCCTGCTGCGAACCGTACCCGCCGCTGCCCATCGCCATGGTGTGGTTGCCGAAGGAGCTCTCTTCTGGATCATGGTCCGGTGCATCCGAATCCCTTGATGGTGCCGAGCCGATTCCAACGGTGCGGTAGCCAACTCCAGTCTTGACCTCGGCGGAGGCAGCTGTCGTGGATACCGAGTCCGCACCGCCGGAGTTGCTCGGTCGGCGCTGTTCCCAACATCCGTCTTGCATTCCAGGCGCGACCATCTCGAGCCGCACCGCAGGCATGTCCACCAAAACCTTGCCCGGTTGCCCTGCATGTACAGCTCGTCCTCGGGATGAGTGCAATTTTGCAGTTCCAGGTCCCACGCCTTCTTCGCTTTGGATCTCGTCACCGGGTGCCCTATCCCTCGACGGAGGGGCTGCTGGTTGCGAGTGTACTGCTTCTGCTCTCTCCGGTCCGCCGGCTGAGTCGAGGGATGAGCTGATGAGCTCGTTGTCTCTTCCATCTCCTCGCGAAGCAGGTCGTTCACCAGCCGCTGCTCCCGCGTCACCGCCAGCATGCGCACGAGCAGTTGCACCAGACGCCGCCACAAGTGGAGGCACCAAGCTTGGCCCCGACGAGTTCGTCGCGGCCCCTGGTTGCTCATCATCTCGGCCTCCTCGGCCAGCATCTGCTGCATTCTGCGGTTGAGGGAAGACATGCTGGCGGGCACGACCGGGGCACCAAAATGCCCGAAAGAAGGTCCT